AAGAAATAGTGTGTGTGTGTGTGTGTGTGTGTCTCGTTGCCTTGTCTAGTCTAGATGGGCGGTTGTCTTGACGGAGAAAGCAAAATGCTCGGATGGCGGGTTTGATCCGGAAGTGGTATGGTGAGAGATCTAAGACTGCAGCGCAACAACCAAGTGAGAAGGGGAAACGAGGAAGACGTGGCGAGCTAGGAGCGGCGGCGGCGGCGGCGGCGGAGGAGGAGGGGAGGGGGAGATGGAAGAAACAGAAGCAGAAGCGGAAGGAGGGCGAAGGTGCAGAAAAGCAGGTGATATGCGATGGACACGGCGCATGAGCAGAGCAGAGGAGTGGGAAGAGATGGAGGTGGGATATACAAAAGAAGACTGCCACTCAAGCTTCAGACGCCGGCATGCAGCAGTAAGTCTGCAGCAGTCTTATTACGCCGTTGGTCTTGGCTCTCCGGGGGGGGGGGGGGGGGGGGGAGAGGAGAAGAGTAGAGAGTAGGTATCGGTGGAAGAGTGAAGTGAAGCTAGCTAGGTAGATGGATGGGATGGATGGCGATGATGGTAAAATGGACGGATTCGCGAAACGGGGGAAGAAACGAACGGAGGGACCGGGCACACACTCACTCACGTTTGGTAAGAAGAAGAAAATATCACTCAATCGCCCAAGAACAGACCAAGGCCAGTAGGTGGGTGATTAGTAGTGGGTAGTCTTTTTTTTTTTTTTGGGTGTGCGATTCGAGGATCGGAACATGGGAAGGGGGGTTTTGAAGGAAGATTGGGGGGAAACGGGAAATCGAAGCGCAGAGAATGCGGTATCCGTTTATTACTAGAGAGCAGGAGAGAAGTCCTCGAACAGAATCGAAGACCGTCATAGTCCAAACTTTGTTTAGAGTGAAGGCGCTGCATCCCCCGATCAAGCATCAGGGGATGCAGGAGAGAGTGGCCGAACCCCTGCAAAGTCCTTAAGGGGGGGTGTGACCTTGGAAGGGGGGGCGGCGGTACAACACACACGCGCAGACCCTGTAGTTTACGTACATTAGGCACCTAAACGCGGTGAGTGACTGGGCAGGGATTCTCTACGTGCTTGGATGGGGGATTCGGCGGCGGCGGAAGAGGATGTGGAACAATGGGCCAGAACCGGACTGGGCTCGTGGCTCTGGTTCATGGGAGGACAGGGGGGGAGAGGAGAAAGGGAGGGGAGGGTTTCCCAAATCTGGAGGCCAGGCTCAGTCGGGTGGCTCGTGGTACGGATAGTGTATCCGTACTACTACGACGTTAGTAGTATATTTTCTGGTCTCTCTGTCCTCTTGTTCTGCTCGTTCTGTTATCTGTACTCTGCTCGGACCGTGGAACGAGACGCATCGCGAAGGCAAATCTTGCCGCTCTCATCTTACTACTTACTACATAGTACGGATATGTATCCGTACAACCCGCATACCTTGACCCGTTTGGTTCTTGCGATTCCATGGGTCAAGGTCCCCGATTCCCGATTCGGTCAAGTGAAGAGGGATTCCAGAGTCCAGAATCCACAATCCAGGCTACCTACACTGCACTAGACAATGAGCAGTATTTCAGACAGAGTGTTCCACCGGACCGGTGGCCATCCATTCCATGCCAGCATTCCATAGAAGGGGGAGGAGGGATCTTCAGTGGCCACACTGACACAATGCAACCGCAGGCGACGGGCTAAACTGCCTGGTACCGGATACATTGAGTCTTCCTTTCCTGCATATGTGCTACTATGTACTATGCACACGCGCACACACTTACTAAGCCTGCCTGCCTACCAATCATGTAAGGTACGGTAGCACTTAGAGGGGGTATCCTTGTATCCGGGATGGTCAGGAAGGGGGGTGGGGCTGGAAGGCACAAAGGCACAAAGGCACAAGGACTCGCATTCCTGGGCTGTCGCCCATGGGAAAGTGGGCGGCGGATGCATAAGTCGAGCGCAGGATAACATGGAATTGGTGAAAGACGTCGATCGGGTTGAAAAGGTACGTAGCCTCCCCCCCCTAAAAGTCGTCTGGCCACCACCACTCCCTGATACCACCCACCTACATGTGTACAGTAGTCCAGGCGAAAGTCGGCGAACCCTTCTTTTTGCTTCCTCTTCCCCTCTTTGGCACCAAATACCGACGCTTATCTCAGTAGTACTATACATACGCTGTAGCAATTCATGCTAAACTACCAACCGTATACGGAGTACACTACGACTACCTAGGTATGCGCCTCTATCGTGAGGTAGGTACGTACTACCTATGGTCGTGTCTAGCCCCACCCACTATGCTTCAGTGGACCGTAACCCTGTGCTGACCGCTGGAAACTCTGACCTTGCACTGAGCCCGCGTGCCTCCCCCCTTACCCCCATAAGTTGCTCTATAACGAGGGCAGACTTTTCCTACCTTTTTTTTCTTTCTTTCTGCCCACTGCCTGCGTCAGTCCGATTCAACCATTCAACCCTTGCCTTCCCGACGTGCCAACTTCCTTTCAGCGTTGAGGGACACGAGGAGACGGGGGTCTTCCATGGTTTTGACGCTGTTCGAGAGACCAGACGCCGCCAGCGATCGGCTTGCCTTCCGGTTTCAACCCTATCTCTCTCCGAATCGTGGGGGGGGGGTCCCTCACTTCTTTTTCGCCTTGCAAACAGTCCCAAGCTCCTCTCGGGACCAAAATGTCCTCCCCCTTACACTTGTATGCGAAGCTTGGGTCGCTTACAGATGCCTGTTCGTGCTGCCGCCGCAACGGCACATACCATGTATGTCTTGCCAGCGAATTGCCCCATGTTGCCCGATTCGCCGGTGAAAGGCGATTAAGATGCTGCAGTTGCCCCCCAATCCCGGGGTCTCCCATTCGTTGTGGCACGGTACGTACACACCACACACAGTTCACCGTATGTACTAAACCGCCTCGCCTCGCCTGCTCTGCATGGAACGGCTTCGATTATATCCGTTGGCGACACCCACAAATACCCCACAAGAGAGAGAGAGAGGCCTACCGAATCGACCATGGTGTACGGATACTCCGTAGTAGTAGGAATGGGAGACCCAACCAACCCCGGGGAAGGAGGGAGTTGTGCATCCGTAGGGCCCCTCCGCCGACGTATCGCCTCGTTTTACACTGCACGATTGTCAGGACGTCGGGCCTCCCTCTGTGTGTGTGTGTGTGTGTGTGTGTGTGTGTGTCTTTTTCTACCCATGCTGCCCAAACTCCCCAGACAGGCACGCGACAGAATCTTCAGTGGGTCGGCCGACACTTGTTCTTGCCTTGCTGCTGCGTGCTGATGGCGGCAGTAGAGGAACCCCCAGTCGCCGAAGCGAACCTCAACAACAGTCAGCGTGCTTTCTCCGGGTTTGAAAGTCGGGAAAACGAGTTGGGAAAATAGGAAACGGGGCTTCTCCCCCAGCTGCCCATCTTTCCCCGACTAGGACGCTCAAACCGCTGCGAAGTGCAGACCGACAGCCAAAGATACGCCAACAACCACAACCACCACCACCACCACCAGGCGAGCTCTCCCACCGCATTACGGCCAGCACTCGGGACATTTTCTTTCGCTAAGGGGCGACATTTCGCTGATCATTCCTTCATCCCGCTACGATCCGCGTGCCTAGGCTGGTCTCTTAGGCTTGTCTAGTCCGATGGGCGCCCCCCAACCGCCAGAACCTTCAACCCCGGTTACCATTTTCCTTGGGCTGTTTCCTGTGAGGGTTGTCTCGGGCTCTCACTGGTGGGTCGTGTCTCTGCTCTCTGCCCGTATTCTTTGTCGGGGCTGTGAATGCGACATACAGCTAGCCAAGCAGTCCCGGCCAACACTCTACGGTATCGTATTTCGTAGCTGAAGAGAGATGGTTCGACCGGGGCGCAAACACGCATCGAATGAGAATTGATCTCCATTCAGGGACACCGTCCTACGCCGCTGGTTCCCATTACCGTCCTGGTCCGTCCCAGCTGTCTTGCAAAAGCCGCAAAAGCACGATCAACGTTACGTATATGGGCGATCCTGTCATACTTGCGTATGCTGTCGCCTGCCAGGTACTCTGTACACACATCGATTCTCGACGTGGTGTTTGAAATGTATTGTGCTGCTTAGTTGCATACCCGCGGCGCGTTGCCGCTTCGCTTGGGTTATCCTCTAACGCATGACTGGACGCTGTATTCGGATAAACGCAAGAACTGGCTCTGTCCCGTTCGCGACCAGCGAGGACGCATGCTTTGCTGACATTTTTGCCCTGCGTCTAGACTTCACAGTCTCTCCATGGATCGTAGATCTGTCACCACAACAGGTCTAGCTTGCAGGCTCTCAAGACGCCTAGACCGGGATGGCCAATGGTCCGGACTAGGGGCCCTGATGGGTTTCTCCATACCGGCGCGCCTGCAGTGCCACCAGAGCTCCATGGCGTAACGCAGATCATCTGACCCTGGGCTTGAGACCAACCGATCCGGACTGCACAGGCTCTGCCCAAGCGTTTCTGTCAGACGTCTACGTCATAATGTCATAAGCAGAACCCACCCCCCGATTTTTGAACATGTCCGTTCGTCTGCCGCCAAACCATCAGAATCCGCCCCGGGAGACGCCAATATCACAGACACACGGAGCCCCGTAGGAGAAAACCTGTGCCACTCGAGGGCTTCCGTGCGATGGCGCCGCTTTGTTTGGCATGCACGTGCTTTGGTACATGCCACTCATGTCACACACGCGCGCAATGACTCGTGTTTATTGCAATCCTTCATTTTAGTCTTGTCAGCATGGCACAAGGTTACAACGTGCCGTCTCTCCTTTCGAGCCGCCCGATTCTTATGTCATTTCGTCGCCAGTTGGCGACACAGCCCTACGTTTCGTGTTTCCGACCATACAAACGACGTGATGCTGCGTGCATGGACTACATCTCCTCCACGCGCAAGGGGTATCATCGACAATGTCGTCATTTGGACCCTGAAGGGACCCAGCGGTGGACCCCCCCTCTCTCTCTCCTGCCTTCCGAGTTCATCCATCCCTCGCTTCTTCTGATATCCCCGCTCTTTCAGCGTGAATTGTCTTTCATGACTCCACAGGTTGAGCATGTCCACCAATGCCGCTCCATCACCGTTCCACAATATGAACATTGCCAAGTTGCCGGTTTTTCTACAGCTGGGCCCAGGGGTTGACGGATACCGCCGTTTGCCCTGCCGGTGCCGTTTGACCTTGGCGGGCTGCTTGTAAGGTCGATCGTCTCTGGCCTTGATGACTTTCTCGTCGTCGAGGCTACTGATGCCCGCTGACGCTCGCGCTTTTCGGCATTTGGCGTCCACGCCTGACGTTGAGCATCCTGGCCGCGCTCTGTGCCACACGCGTCACAGCAGAGGAACGTAGCGGTATTATGAAGTGTGCAGACCCCGCATGTCCAACCCTGTTGCGGAGCCGACCGGGGTGCCGGTGCAGAAACAACCGGCGGCCGAGTCTCGGGTCTCGGCACTGGTGGAGGTTTTGGCGACGACCGAGGCCTAGTCGCCGGTCCCGGGATCCAAGGGGGTACACTATTGCTTCTGGTCCCGTCATCTCCCATGACCGAACCGCCGCCATTACCGGTGGGGTTCTGTGCGCTCGGCGGGATGTAGTAACCGCCGTAGCGTTGACGCTCCTCTTCTTGTACGAGCTCCCACAGCGCCTGCGCGATGGCAGCTTCGTTGGCTGCATCTTCTTCGGCTTGGGTGCGGAAGCCGTTTCTTGTGGCTGTCTCGGAAATTTGTTGTATTTCTCGGTCGTTGTGGTTCGTGTTGCCACATCCTTGCAGAGTGCTATTTCTGCGTTCGATGGCACCGACTATTACTCGCCGGATGTCCGAGCCTATACTAGGACCAGAACCACCGAGTTTCCGTCCCGAACCGGCTGTCAACGAACGACGCTTTTCAGCGGCCGTCCGAGCAAGCCGGCGGGCCTCGTGCATGGGTATCCGGCCACCTCCCAGCCGGTGACCTTCTGACAAAAAGCCTTCACCTGTATAACCCTTGCGTATGAGTGCCTCGTGTTCGTCTCTTAGTTGATTCCAAAGTGCATGGAAGTTGCCATCATGTGGCCCGAACACAATATGGGAAAGCTCGTGAAGCATGGTGTCGACAACCTGTTCTATAGGTAGGAAGAGGGATCGGTCACCGGGGTATCGCAGACGGACCAGAATCCTTTGGCCCCTGTTGATGTTGAGACCTGGAGCAAAGTTAGTCTCCAGTCAAGGAAGACGACATTCTTACACTCACCGAGAAGGTTTGCTTGGTCTGGGTAGAACTCAGCAAGCTCTTGCACCTTCCATCCTCGCACTCGCATGATGGGCTTCACCAGAGAAGCCACCTTCTTCAGTGATCTAAACGCATCGCTCGCCCGCGGGAAGTCCGCCAAATGGGAGTATGTCGCAACGAGAGCGTCGTGCTCCGGCATCTTAGTGTTGCAATGTAGTCGTCGGCAGCAAAAGGTGCGATGAACAAGACCCGAAATCTGGAAGAACAGAACAGGAGAGAATGCAGAATGAAGTTACAAACGACGGGGGGGTATCGAAGAGAGAAAGAAAAGCGCCCGAGGGTAGATGGCCAGGAAGAGCGGACATGAAGTTATTCACATGATAAGCTGTGGATGACACGTACAAAGACGCGTAAAGACTGGATGCCTTTTTGGAGACAGCACGTTGAATCGGGCGGCGAGGCTTACGCAGTAGCATGTCACTGACTTCGTATGTCTTGGCAGGCAGGCCCGACAAAGGGCCCGGCGGGGGTGGCGGGGCATGCAGACGATGACTAATCAGGCTCATGGATTCCAGAAGCTACAGCCTCAGTAAGGGCTTTCTTTTTCTGTCTTCAGTGCACTGTCGGGGTTAATGAACCGACCTGTCAACTCTAGCTTACCTTAGGTAGCTACGAACAACAACACTCCGAACCTTGAATCAAGTAGAATCCCCGACGGCAAAAGCCATTGGTTGTTCAACCGAGACTCTTGCTCAGGAAGTGGCCAATACATGACAGAATGGGTAGGATTCGGGCCCAAAATCAAGGCAGCGGCATGTTGGAAAGATTAAAGTTGCAGCGATCGACTCCGCCAAGCGATAGCACTATCTATGCCTCGCTTGTTCCTGGCGTCAATTCCGACGACATCCCTTTCGACGCCGAGGATTGATAGCGTCTTGGGTACACCGCTCAGTTCGAGCCCGGGGCCGAGGCCATATCGTACAGCAAGCAACCTCGGGGGTAGCCGATGTCCATGGACACTTCTGCTAAGACACTCGTGGATGGCTGCCCGTTTCATTTAAGGGTATCGGAGGGGTATAAGGAGGTGTCCTAATTCACATGAACCGTTGAGGATTGATGACGTTTCAGTTCGCATGAACCTCCTCGCACACTGACCAACTTTTTTCGTCGGACAGTTGCGGTCGGGCTCCCCGTTAGACTTTGTGTACGCTGTGCTGATTGGCTTCTGGCTTAGCAGGGCAACATTTGACCCAACCGCCTTCATCGCAACTTCTCGCTTCTATTCAGAGTTCAGATGATGGGTATCTGCCTCCATTTCTGCTTCGGCACCAACCGATGGCCACGATTCTTCTCCATGGATCCCGTCAATTGCCGCGGACAGAATGTTGGCTAAGGCGCTCTCACCCCGGCCCCGGAACTTCGGCATCGCGACCTTCTCGCCAGGGGTCGCATGTCTGGTTCACAGTGTTTTGAAAGCCAAGCGTACGGCCGCTCCGGCTGGCCACCTCTTTGTACAGGACAGTGTCAGCAGGACGGTCTCGTTCTGAGAGGATACGAATGATCGACTGTCGCAGGTCCCCTACTTTGACGCGCATCTCTCCCTCTCTCGAATCCAGTTCGCCCGTAGCCGCGGAAGAAAGGGGCGGGAAATCAAAAAGCGGAAGATGCTGCTCCCGGAGCTGAAATCAAGGTCCAGTTGTCGCATTCCAATAATAGTGGGATGCCCTCCTTTCTCTTGTGATTCGTCATTGCATGGTTGGCGATCCAACTCGCGATGGAGCAACCGCGCAATTCGAAACGTCTCCCTTGGTCGATCTATGCGCTGCCACAGAGAGAAGCGAACTTGGCGGAAGCTTGATTTGCTTAACTCCCGATGGTCCTCCACTCTTATGGACCTCCTGTTCTCTAAACTCGTTGTACAACTTTAGGTTATTTTCTCCGGTCTTGGTATTGTACAGCTCTGCGAGCTTTCTTCCTGGCTTCATTCCTTCGCCAGGCCATTCCCTTCTCCAAAGTCATCATGCGGTTCTTCAACTCAGCTACCGTCGCAGCATTCATTCCTTTTGTGGTCCATCTAGCGGATGCGAAACCTGTCAGTATAGAAATAGCTACCTTGGGCGGCGCGGCCTTTCGGATTGAACAGGTGCCTAACCCTAACTTCTACTACGGTTCTCGTCGAGGGCCCATTGCTTTGGCCAGGGCCTATTCCAAGTTTGGACAACAAATCCCGGATGAACTACTCTCGCTCATCGACCAGATTCTCGCGGAACTTGGGTTGCTCAATGGAGGCAACGGTGCACATATGGGACACGGAGAAGGTGGGGGCTCGAAAGGCAACGGCACGGCCACGGCGCAAGGGGGGGATGGAGGCAGCAAAAACGGCAACGGAACGGCAGCTCATCCAGATGGTAAGTTTGTGTACGCCCAGACCGCACCATATTCGAGCTCACAGTCATCAAGGAGAGGTCGCGGCGATCCCTGCCGAGTTCGACAGCCAGTACCTCTGCCCCGTCCAGATCGGCACTCCTCCTCAAACGCTGAACCTGAACTTCGACACCGGGTCCTCGGATCTCTGGGTCTTCAGCAGTGAGACACCGGTGACTGAGGTGGCGGGACAGGCTATATACAACGTTCAAGCCAGCTCAAGCGCCAAAGTCTTGGAGGGCGCGGCGTGGTCCATCTCTTACGGTGACGGCAGTTCGTCGAAAGGCAACGTCTACATGGACACCGTCACCATCGGTGGCGTGACAGTTGAGAGCCAGGCCGTCGAATCGGCGACCCAGGTATCGGCCTCCTTCACCAGAAACGCGAACCAGTCTGGACTGGTTGGCCTCGCCTTTGGGACCATCAACACGGTGCAACCGACCAAGCAAAAGACGTTTTTCGAGAACGCCATGAGCAACCTCGCGATGCCGCTTTTCACGGCAAACCTCAAAAAGGGCGCAGGTAAGTCCCCCCCCCCCTGTTTCCTTTTTACTAGACCAGAATACTCACATCCCTTTTCTTTTTTCTTTTCTTTTTAGCTGGCAACTACAACTTCGGCTTTCTGGATACCTCAGAATTCACCGGGGATATCAACTTCATCCCCGCCAACTCGACCGCCGGCTTCTGGCAGTTCACCGCGCAGGGCTTCGGCGTCGGCAACGGCAGCGCGACAACCGCGATGCCGCACCAGGCCATTGCCGACACGGGCACGACGCTGATGCTTCTGCCCGACGCCATCGTCAAGGCGTACTACTCGAACATTGCCGGCGCAAAGTTCGACGCGACCAACGGCGGCTTCGTGTTCGGCTGCCAGCAAGATATCCCCTCGTTCACCCTCGACCTCGGCACGTACAAGGCCGTCGTGCCCGGCGAGTTTATCAAGTTTGCGCCGGTGGACGGGCAGACCGTCGAGACGTCGTCCATGTGCTTTGGAGGACTCCAGAGCGTAGGGACGCTGCCCTTTGCGATTTACGGGGACGTGTTTCTCAAGTCGCAGTTCGTCGTCTTCCACGGCGGAAAGAACCAGTTGGGGTTTGCGACCAAGCCCTTATAACGGACGCCGGTCGTTGATGTCCAATGATAGATAGCGCTGGGCCGCATTTTCGGAAGGCCCCTGGTTCCCATAGATATGTATTAATGCTTTGCGTTGTGGCCTTTTTTATTTCGACCTCTGAATAGAATCATTGTCAATGAGTTCCGAATGTGACCACGGTCATTTGACATACGAACACGCACGACGGTTCCTTGCTAGACTTTCTACACGATCCCTAGCCTCAGACAGGCAGCCAGTCCCACGCCGTTGAAGTACTTCATTCGGCCGAAACCAAGCAGTTCATGGATCGTACCCCCCTCCCCTCTCCTTAGCCCTCCACTTCCCGGCCGTGATCAAAGCTTCCTCGCCAAGCACCTGAGCCTCACGTAGCCAATCACCCGACCGCCCTCGGGGGTCCTGCAGACGTGCTCCAGGACCTCGACGACCTCCCGCACCGCCTCCTCCCTCTGGCCCCCCTCCTCCGGCACGGCGTCCAGCAGGTCCTTGCCCATCAGCCGCACCCAGCCCTCGACGCCGCCCCGGTCCGCCGGCGTCGGCCTCCACTCGCGCTCGACGCGCTCGACGCGCCACCCGCCGACGTCCTCCTCGAGCGCCCGGGTGATCCAGGCCTCGTCGGGGAAGAACCAGGGGTCCGCCGCGGCCGCGGCCGCCACGCCGCCGTCGACGCGCCGCGCGACCGCCATCACGAGGGCCGCCCGCATCTCGGGGACGTTGCCGAGCCCGCCCATCTCGAGGACGAGCGCGCCGCCAGGGCGCAGCGCGTCTCGGACCGACGAGAAGACGGGCACGTGCGACCCCGGCGCGCGGAGGATCCAGTGCAGCGCCGCGTTGGAGAAGGCCTTTGTGAAGGTGGGCGCGTGCAGGGTCGGCGTCGGGGACGTTGCCATCTTGGTCGCGTCGAGGACTGCGCGCGCGCGTGCGAGAGTTGCGTGTCAGTCAGTCGGGAGAGAGCGCGGATTGGGGATGAACGGATGGACGAGGGGGGTGAGCTTACCCTCGAACTCGCAGTTGGACAGCCCCGACCCCTCGACCGCCTTCTTCGCGGCCGAGATCATGGCGGGCGAGGCGTCGATGCCGTGCAGGGAGCCTGTCCCCTGGGCCAGGATCTTGCCGAACTCGACGTCGAGGATGCCGTCTGCTCACGTGTCAACGTCTATCTCGCCATATCTGTCTGCTAGGGCTGCTTCGGGAAGAGGAACGTAGTGTGGAGCAAAAGCCCGGGGGGGGGGGGGGGGGGGGGGGGGTCCTTGCGACGAGTTCCAACCCTTACAATTTAGCCACATTGGCACGAAGTCGACGTCAAGACTCTAACCCGCAGACTAGAGTTATGGTTGGGCGAGTTGTATCGTTGGGGACTACAGTAAAACTGCTTGTCCTCTAAACAGTTTCCTGGTGCCAGGGGGGGGGGCTCCGACTCACCGCCGCAGCCGATGTCGAGGATGACATCGTCCTTCTGGACGTCGAGCCACTGCACCACCTTGGTGGCCAGCTTGGGCACGAACGAGGCGGAGTGCTGGTAAGCCTGGGCTGCGTCAATCACGATTGCAAGCACGATTGCGAGAGCGCATGAGATAAAAGAGCCCGCACCTCGGACGACCACTTGTCTTCTTTCTGTTCCGCCATGGTTTTTTAGGCTGTGGGAGGCTTTTGAATGGCGTTCTCTACGAGGATGACCAGAATGAAATTCATGCACTATGAAAGCGGGCGCTGCTTCTTATGTTCTCGTCGAGAACTCCCCGCGGGCGACTTACACGCAATCCTCGGTTCAGGTGGACGGCGGTCCGATCTCGGACATAGATCAAACGGCCGCAGCGGCCGTCCCCCGCATTGCTGCCAAGCAGCCGGTCCACGGCACCACCAAAGACCTGACTTAAAAGGGATACAATCGCGTTTATGCTCGCCAAGTCGGTGTCGATTCTAAGCACTTGATCTCGAATGTTTTCTTTGCCATTGCAAATTTGTAGCGAAATCGGCGTACCATGTCATGCCATGCCATGCCGAGCCAAAGGGCCACGATTGAGCCTATCAAAGCTACTGCACTGCCCAAACTACGTGCATCTCTTTCCAAGTCCCGAGACCTGAACCTTAATCGATCTCCAGCAGCTCGTACTTGTCCTCGCCCAGAGCGTCCTCGATCCTCTTCATGACGGACAGCACCTTCTCCTCCTCCAGCCTCCTGCCGACGACCTGGACGCCGACGGGCAGGCCGTGCATGTCCTCCGCATCGTACAGCTTGTACGCACCCCGTGCGACACCGTTCAGCTTGGTGATGTTGAAGTTGCCGGGCAGCTGGTCCAGGTTCTCGTCCACGTGTGTCACCGGGAGAACACCAGCGGTGTAGTCGAGCTGGCGACGTGATTAGCCCAAGAACTTTAACGATACAAGGAATCAGCAGCAGCGCGAGCTTACCAGGTTGAACAGGAAGGTATAGCCGCAGCTACTCACTGCATCCTTCATGCCATCGTGCGGCACGGCAGGCGTCGCGTTCGGCGGCGTGATCAGAACGTCCACGCCCGCCGAGTCCCACCAGCTGAACCACCGCGCCCGGTACGCTTCCCTCCTCGCCACCAGCTTCCAGTTCTCAAAGGCGCTCTGCGGGCGCCAATCCCGCACGAGGCCGGCCCAGACCTCGTCCCTGCGGACGTACTTGACCCACAAGTAGTACAGGTACCGCAGCGGGCTCGCCAGATTCATGAGGAACTTCATCTGCGCGGCGCCCGGGTCGTTCCACTCTCCTGTGCGGAAGAAGGTGCTGAACGTTTGGCAACCGTCGGCGTTAAGCGCCAGCGACGCGATCTGCAACCCCTCGTACGGCGACGGCGGGTCGATCTCGACGATCTCGTGCCCCTCCCTACGGAGCGCGGCCTCGACCATCTCCAACGCGCGCCGGCAGGCCGGGCTCGGGTCGACGACGCCATCGGTGCGCATCACGCCAACGCGAAACTGCGGCTTCTCGAGCCAGGTCTTCTCGGCGTCGGCCCTCCACGGCATCGGGTGCACGCTGTAGTCGTATTTCCACGGCTGCATGCCGATGACGGCGCGCGTGAAGTAGCGCAGGTCGTCGAGCGTCCGCGTCATGGGGCTGTAGACGGACGGCACGCCCTCCTGGCCGGGCATACTCGTGCAGAAGCCCAGCTTCGGCCACCGCCCCGTCGAGCACCGCAGGCTGTAGCACCCCGAGAAGTGGGCGGGGGCCCGCACGCTGCCGGCGACGTCGCTGCCGATGCCGATGCGGCCGCCCATGGCGAGGAGGGCACTCTCGCCGCCGGTGGAGCCGCCGGGGGAGTAGCGCGTGTTGTGTGGGTTCTTGCAGCGGCCCCAGACGTCGTTGGTGGACTCGAAGCTGAGGAGAGTGATGGGCATGTTCGTCTTGACGTAGGGCACGGCGCCGGCGTCCTTGAGAAGGCGCACGACGGGGCCGTCGTCGGGGGTCTTGTTGCCAACGAAGCTGCTGAAGCCGACGGTGGTGTCGTAGCCGCCGACGACGATGGTGTCCTTGAGGCTCACGGGAATGCCGGCCAGCGGGCCCTTCATGTTAATGGAGCCGTCGTCGACCCACTTCTCGGCGTCGGCGATCATGACCTCGGTCAGGCAGTTTGTGCGCTCGTGAGCCTTGATGGCAACCTTACCGTACGTCTTGAGGATGTCGATGGGCTTCAGGACCGTCTTGTGAACATCCTGCACAAGCTCCTCGATAGGCCGGTCCAGGATCTGACGGTCCTGGGCCGAGAAGGGGCCATGGTATGATGTGAGGCGGCGGATCCTATCCGCGCGTTCAGACTGCTTGAATTGGCTGAGCGTTGGTGTTAGTGAACCTGGACGCATTCCGGGTAACGTTTGGGGCATTGGGGTAATCAGACCAGTCACGTCGGTGTTGGAGATAGTCGAACGGGTAGACCATCTTGGCATGCAGCGTGTATGTGACAGCAGAAGGTGGGGTAATTGTTGGACTTGAAGCTATCTCGAATTCGTCAGTACAGGTATCAATTGAGGTGAATCGTAAGAGTGAGAGTGTGAAAAAGATGCAGGATGCATAATTGAAAGTCAAGCAAGGGGGAGAGAGAGAGGGATGTAACTGGACGGTCACGAGAGAGGGGGCCGCTTGCTGTTGGAGTCGCGGGGAAGCCCCGCTCTCTCACCTTATCTGTCGCTGGGGTAAAAGGGCGTAAGGGCGTAAGGGCGTACTGCAGTATCATGTAACTTATCTCTGGCCCGCTGATATCCGCCTGAAACTTCCCTGCTGCCGTTAACTTAACACACGGCAGGGGCCCCCACCCCCCACCCGATCTCGTTCCCAAAGTTCAAGGTCGGTCGGTGTGAGTTGAATGCGAGCCGAGATGCGATCGAGATACTACTGACAGCTACTGCTGCTGCCAGGCTCGGTCGCATGTTTCATCAACAATAGTCTGGTATTAGGACACCAACGGTGAGACAGCCAGCCGAACGTTTCCCGCCAGAATCTGCAAAGAGGCCTGGCATCCGCGGCTTGTCACTGCCATGTTGCGCTATGACGATGTCGTGGAAACAAGCGTGCCCGGCATTAGTGTGTGCGTGTGCGTGTGTGTGGTGTGGCACAAGTGTCGAGGTAAAATCAGATGAATTCATTTACAAATAAACTGCTTTTTAGTACCTATCCTCATCATTGCCCAATGTTCCCGTCCGTACCCTGCTCGTGTCTGACCTTCACCGAGCTACGGCGCTCACAAAACCGGCCGCCTCTCGTTCCTGTAGTGGTCTGCAATCAAGAAGGCAAGCTCGAGCGCCTGCTTCTCATTCAGTCTCGGGTCGCAGAAGCTCGTGTAGTTGGTCGACAGGTCGTCCTCGTCCAAGCCCTCGCTGCCGCCCAGACACTCGGTGACGGCGTCGCCGGTGAGTTCCAGGTGCACGCCGCCGAGGTAGCTGCCCTGCTCCTTGTGGATACGCAGCGTCTCCTGGAGCTCCTCAAAGATGTCGCGGAAGCGGCGGGTCTTGATGCCGCTGCCCGTGGACAGCGTGTTGCCGTGCATGGGGTCGCACTGCCAGACGACGCAGCGGTGGTACTCGCTGTCCTCGACGGCGCGGATGTGGGCCGGTAGCAGCGAGCGCACCTTTGCGGCGCCGTAGCGTGTGATGAGCGTGATCTTGCCGGGCTCGCAGTCCGGGTTGAGCGTGCGCAGCAGGGCAAGCAGGTCGTCCGCCGGCGTGGTGGGGCCGACCTTGACGCCGATGGGGTTGGCGATGCCGCGGAAGAACTCGACATGAGCGCCGTCGATCTGCCTAGTGCGGTCGCCGATCCATAGGAAATGGGCCGACGTGTCGTAGTAGTCCTTTTTCGTCTCGGCCGGCTTGTTGCCGTGGTCGCCGTTGCCGGCGCCGTTGGTCGTGGGTCGTGGCGGTGGCGGCGTCTCCAGCAGGCGGGTCAGCGGTTGCTCATACTCGAGAAGCAGGCCCTCATGGCTCGTGAAGAGATCGACAGTGTCCAGCTTGTCGCTCCTGTCGGCGCCGATAGTGTGAAGGAAGCGGAGCATGTCGGTGAGGGAGAGGACGGCCTCGGAGTACTTCCTCTTCAGCTCGGGGTCCCGAACATGGCCCAGCCCCCAGTCGAGCGGCCTGTGGAGATCTGCGATGCCCGACGAGAGGCATGCTCTGACGTAGTTGAGAGTTGCCGATGAATATTGGTAAGCCCTGTGGTGGTTAGCATACTGTTCGTTCACTGTGCGTCTTTTTTTCTTCTTCTTTTTTCCCTTTTTCTTCCAGGATGTGGCCACTTACTTGACGAGTCTTTGGGGGTCGATGTCGCGCTCGTCGACGTGGAAGCCGTTGAGAATGTCTCCGCGGAACGAGGGAAGCTCGACGCCGTCGACGAGCTCGGTCGGGCTCGATCTCGGCTTCGCATACTGACCGGCCATGCGTCCAATGCGCACTACGCGCTTGTCAGCGCCCCAGACGAGAACCAGACTCATCTGCAGGAGCAGCTTGATTTTGGACTCGATGGCGTTGGGTTCACAGTAGTCGAACAGCTCGGCGCAGTCACCGCCCTGCAACAGGAAAGCCTCGCCTCGGGCGACATCGCGGAGGTGCTGCTTCAGCGCGACAATCTCCTTGGGGTGGACGATGGGCGGGAGGCGTGTGAGTTCCTTGACCGACTTGTTGAGCGCAGCCTTGTCGGGGTAGTCCGGCGCCTGCTTGATGGGTTTTGAACGCCAGGAGTCGGGTGACCAGGCGGGGGACGACATGACGTGATGTTGTAGTGAGTCGAATCAAGAAGCGATGAGACAGACAGTGTGTTGGCCTTGTCTGTCAAGGCCCGGAACAGTAAAAAAACCTTTTTCTGTAAAGGGGGGGGGGCGGGGAGGGGGAGTGAGACAAAATGCAAGTGAAGGCCGATGAACCATGTATAGAATAGAGGATATAGAGAATAGAGAATAGAGAATAGAGGGACAGCTGTAATAATAGGTAGTGAGTCAACTCCGAAGTTGTTGTGCAGGGAACAATGTGAACGAATTAGGACACTCCGATGCTAAGAATGGGACAGTGCCATCACAAGCAGCATTGACCAATGACAGCCGAAGAAATATAGAACCATGAAAAGCAATTCAGGAACCAGTCCATCCGTTAGACCCTTGGAGTTGTTCAACTACCGGTAGTTTATGTGCAAATATACAACTATCTTGTGCCGATACATACCGACATTCTCACCGTCGGTCAGTCTCAGTGTTGCCAAGGTGTGTGTAGGTGAGGGAGGGAGAGAGAGAGGGAGAGAGAGAGAGAGAGAGAGAGAGAGAGCACAGCTTCCTGCCCCTCCCCGCCCCCACCTTGACCTGTGCCCCACCACAAATTCCCATCACTGCCTCCCCCCCCAGTTGTTGCGATCGAGCTCGACTGTCTCTCCAGCACAGCTCCCTCCTACACGACCGAACCACCATTCCGGATCCGCATTGGCCTGCTCCCCCCCCCCCCCCCCCCCCTACGTATCTAGATCAATGTAATCTCTCAGTCTATCTAGAGCGTGGCGAAAATGTGTTATACTTGAGAACGTGGGTTAGAGTAAGGGTGCTGGTGGGCGGGAGACTCCGCTCCTCTCTTTGCTGCACGTTGCCCTGTGTAATTAGAAATCAACCTTGACCGCTCCATTCACACAACCGTCGGGCGGGGGGGAGACATTTTGGAAAAACAAGGGTGATGCTGGACCAGCTCGAAGTGCTTTTTTGATCGTGTGCGTGTG